ACGATTCTCTACTAAGGATTTAGTCTCATGGTTATAAAATCTATAACCCTTAGAATTTTTTGAATAACCTATAAATGACCATTTTATAATTTTACTTTGTAATTTATCTCTATTTTGTGGTGGTATAAATATATGTGCCCAAGAACCCCAAACTTTCAAGATAGTTAGGTAAGGTTTTCTACCTATCCATAATTCATATGGGGTCAAGTCTATAGATTTAGTTGGAACATGATTAATAATATGCATTGCAGTGTTGAGAGCCTCATCCAAAAAATAAGGTGATAATTTTGAATAGTTCATCATAGATTTAGCCACGTCTATCATAGTTCTATTTCTTCTTTTAGCTAAACCATTTTGTTGTGGTGCATATGACATAGTTGTTTGATGAATTATACCATGCTCCTTACAGAATTCAGTAAATGAGGTGAAGCAATATTCACCTTCCCTATCTGTTCGAAGAATTTTAATATGTCTACCTAACTGATTTTCTACCTCAGCATTATATTATTTAAATGTTTCTAAATCATCTGAATTTTTACTAATTAGGTATACATATCCATAGAATGAATAATCATATATAAATGTTATGAAATATTTCATACCTCTCTATGTATTTTTATATTTAATGGGCTACATATATCAGAGTGAACAATACTAAGTAGTTCATTAGACCTTTTTTCTTTAAGGAAATGCTTTTTAGTTAATTTACCATAATTACACGGTTCGCATGTTTTAAACACAATTTCTCCTAAATTAAGGAGCAAGCCTCTTTTTACCATGTGATTCATTTTATTTTTATTTATATGTCATAATCTTAAGTTTCATAAATATGAATCATCAACACACACAAAAGCATAAAAAGAGCCATCAGAATAACAAAAAAGATATAAACTTTCATCAATATTCAATTAGTGTAATTGTCAACTTTAGTACCATACACCAATGCTCTATAATGTTTTTCAATGGTGACTCGACTAAACCTAAACCTTATTATCATAATGCTTATCGTCTAGCCTAGGAAAAAAAATTAAATTGCGCCTTATATTGGGCACATACAATGTATCAATCAATAAGAGGTTTGTTCCTCCTGATAAACAAAGCTTGAAAAAGCTTGAAAGTACTGATAACTAGTACATCACAGTAGGCATCATTTCCCATATAAATCCACTGGTTACCGGCTGTAATCTCCTTCAACTTTGTGAATCCGTCGTTGGTCTTTGAGACATGTTGAGTGGAGGTTGAGTCGACCCACCAATTTCTTAGTTCATGGTCGACAACATTGATTCTAGGACGACACATATCAAGTCATTTTTTTTATTTTTGATTATTTCGAGCAGGATTGTTATTATGGTTTATATTTTTGTTTTTCATCTTAGGAAAATTAAACTTGATATGCTCAATTTCTTTACAATAAAAATAGGTATTTCAACATTATTCTTTTGATTTTTAAAATTTCTCTCATTTCCCTTATACCTATTATTTTTCTAATTATTGTAAAATTATTGGGAAACTGAGAAGATGAACTTTGGGCAAAATGGAGCTCATTAGATTTCTTCATCATTCTTTTTTCAGCTTCAATACTGAGGTGCGTGAAAAGATTCAACATAGTTATCCATTGTGCAAAGTAGTTCAATACAATTACAATATGCTCCCAAGATGATGGGAGACTGTTAATGATAATAAGCACTTGTCATCTTTTATAAAACTCAATATAGTAGTCCTAGCTACTTTGTCATCTTCTGACCATTTTTCAAGTCACTTTCGGGCTTGACCATTGGCATTAGGCTCTAAAATTGATAGTTCTGTATCTAGAACATAATCCACCCTATCTTGGAAGAGAATATATCCAATTTTTCTCTTCCATATAGAACAATTTGTTCCATTGAGTTTTTCAAGTTTTGATAGTTCTGATATTACTAGCCTGGATGCTATTTTAAACTTTAGATAATACCGAAAGGTTTAAAAAATTCAATTATGTTTAAGAACAAGGTTGTCTTCTAGTCAAATCAATACGTTGCAGACTTTGTATGGGTAGCAACTTTAGTGAACAATTCTCTTAAAATGTTTATGTTTACACTACTATGATGCAAGAAAATCAAAAGGTAATGCAACAATCTACTTTATGTAATTCTTGCATAATACTAATTTTTATAAATATATGTTTTAGCTCTAGAGAGAGAAAGTCTACAATTATATTTAATATTTTTCAACAAAAATATAACATAACATAAATCACAAAAAATGAATTCACAAAATCAAGATCATGAAATTTTCTTACTTAAAAAGACCAAAGCATAGAATAATTATGCAAGGCAGTGACAATTATGATGCAAATAAAATATATAGAAAATCCCTAAATTATAAACATGCAATTGATATGTCAAACTTTACTCGAATAGTTGTTGTGTGTATAATAATTTTCAATAATCCAAAAAAAATATGCACTAATTTTCAACAACAAAAAATGGAAGAATGACTATGCAAGCTAACTGATTTTCAAGAAATATGTCGTTTTTTTTTGTGTCTCTCTCTAAAAATTAAGCAACATCTTTATTTCTCTCTCTAAATATTACAGCAGCAAATTTTAATTTAATTTTATTATTTATTATTAAGTTCACTGAAAATTTAGTGAATTTCACTGATACTCACTGAATTAGAGAGAGAGTAAATAATGAAGACCTTAACGTTATGATTGGTTCAAAGTTTTCTTTCTCCTTTTCAATACTGATGATTTCTTAAAAGCGATACGCAGAGAATATCTTAGAGACATAATATGATAAGCAAATAATATCTTTAAAGGGACAGTAAGATAATATCTTAAAAAAAGTATAAGCTGAGAGTATCTCAGAGAGCAGAGAATATCTTAAAAAGGATAAATAGAAAATATCTTAAAAAATTGATAAACAAATAATATCTCAGAGAGCAGAGAATATCTTAAAAGGGATAAGCAGATAAAATCTTAGAGAGAGAATATTTATTTGAGAAATAAAAAAATAAAAAATCATATTATTAAATTTAAGGTAAAAAAAAGTAAAAACATTTATTGTAAGATATACGGGCATGACAAAACCCAATATCAAAGTTACTGTAAATTAAACTAAAAAAAAGATATAAACACCAACAAAAATGAAAGATAGAACTTGGGACATGTAGGTTATGAGCAAGCCACGCTTCCACAACTATGTTATGATACCAACGTTGAAATCTTGAGGGAAGAGATGGACCCACTAAATTCCCAGGAGTCGAAGCCAATGTCGTGAGACTGTGGATTGCAAAGGTCAGGGTTTTCCAGAATAATGAGAACTCAAAGATAACTTCTCTGTGTACGTCTCTCCATGGCCATGAAATGCCTGGTTATAGAGGGATGGATGAGGTAATTCTCTAATGTTCAGCTTCCTCCTGGAATCTCTGACAAACGTGGCCCACAATTCCTGAGAGGTGGGTAGTTATCATCTACCCATTAAATGATGATATCTTCCCTATCGAAGAGGCCTTTATTTTAATGATAAATATTAAATCATTAAGATAAATAATAAGAGAGAGAAATGTAAGACTTGTTTGGCATGACAACTCATACATACCAACAGCAACACCACATATTTAGCTACCTGTTGTTCACGAGTTTCCTTCTATTGCAGAAAGTTTGGGTATCATTTGCATGTTGAAGATAGGGTACGCATTGACCTCCTCGGACCGCAATGTTGAGAACAATCAAGTTTTTAAATAACATTTTTGTACTTCTTATTTTTGTTATTAAATTAAATGGGTATGGTGGTAAGTAAGAACACCACCGTGACACTATTCTCTCATTTTTCTCTCTCATGTGAAACTCTCTCTCATTCTACCTCCCACTTTCTCTCTCTTCATAGTTCTTAATCTTTCTAACACTTTGCTGATTTCTATCATTCAAGTTTTTAAATGACATTTTCGTACTTCTTATTTTTGTTATTAAATTAAATGGGCATGGTGATAAGTAAGAACACCACTGTGACATTATTCTCTCATTTTTCTCTCTCATGTGAAACTCTCTCTCATTCTACCTCCCACTTTCTCTCTCTTCATAGTTCTTAATCTTCTAACACTTTGCTGATTTCCATGATATTCTCGAGATCCAATGATGTAATCTGACCTTGCAAAGACCGCACATAGTCATACGGTCAGAAAGCCTTGTGAAATCAAGTATTAAAAAAGAGAGACCTAAATATAATGGTTTTTCCATTTGTGGGTCTCCTTTTGATATGCGGATCGAATGGAAAAAAAAAAGAAGAACTTAAAAAATTATAGTGACGAGGCAAACCCTAAATTTTCATGGATCTAAAATTTCGATCTAAAAAATTGAAGGGGTGCATCAAACCCTAATTTTTCATGGGTCGAAATTGTGATGTCAAATTGAAAATCCTAAAACTAGTTGGGATTTTTTTGATGTTTCAAAGTGGTTGTTGGACCATCTAATGTGTCTCATATATAGTTGGCAAGTTGGGGATTATCAATAAATTGGCTAACCATAAAATTAAAAATAAATCATTTTTATTTTAAAAAAGTCGGATGAGAAAATTAGGTAAAAAATACGGATCGATAAAAATATTTCATATAAAGATATCGTTACTATATTGGATTAGGCTAAAAACATTGAAGTAAAATAATCGGATAATTTTATAACATTAAAAAATTTGAAATTTTAAAAAATAAAAATTATGTCAAAACCATCAATAACTAATTTATCTATAAAATTTTTAATAAACTAATATAATGAAGTAAATTAATTTAGGTACTTCACTTTCATCCAATCGTTTAATATTAAATCTATCTATTAAATACTTTAAAAAAACATCGCACCTACTAATTACATACCAAAAATAAATATACTATATAAAGTTATTCATTAAATACGTTAATTAGGTGACACATATACAATATAAATTTATTAAAAAAAATACACGATTTTCCATTATTATGGTTAAAGTTTTATAAATTTCTTTCAAATTGAAAAGAGGCTCGTAGAAATTTTAGTTTCACGTCTGTGTTTACCGTTTAGAGAGAGAAGAAGAAGGAATAGAAATTTGGGTTTCACGTCTGTGTTTACCGTTTAGAGAGAGAAGAACGAAGAGAAGAAACTAGGGCTGGCCTCATAGCCATCAGGGTTTATATGGAAGAACGAAGAAGGAAAAGGTCATCGGCTTCACAAACCATAATGGAAGAGGGCTCTAACTGAGTTTTAGAGTGGGAAAAGGAAGGAAGATGGGTTGCTGATTTTTGATACTTTGAAGAGGATTTTTCTCTCTGATTTGGGATGTTGTTTGAGAGAAAGCCTTAACTGATTTGTGAAGAGGCCCTGACTGATTTTTACAGAGAGAAAAGTAAGAGGGTTTTCATTTTATTGGGAAACAGCAAGCAGAGCTGAAGGATTAGGTTTGGGGAACTAATCTATATGTACAACTGCTTGCTCCTGTAAGTTTACAGTTTACACTATATTGTTTATCTTTGTTATCACATAAACAAAAACAAAATATTGATTACTTGGTCCTGTAGTCACACTCTCTGCTTCTCATTTATCAGTAAAATACTATGTTTTGAGCTATAATTTGTGCCATAAACAGTATTTTCATAAAAACAATTATCATAAATAATCACAGAAATCTGCTTGTATATGATTTTCTTTACACAATGATTTACTTTACCAAATGATTTGCTATAAACAGTATTTCATTTACACAACGATTTTCCATAATAACAACTGAAATCTGCATCTATTTGTTTAAGTTTTTAAGAAAAAGGGAAAAAAAAAACTTCATTCCTTCAATCTGCATTGAAGAACGCAGTTGGGATAAAGATTTCTATTTTATGTTTTTTTTTGAAATAATATTTTTTTTTCAAAAGCATGAAAGTAACAATGGTTGCAATACACAAAACAGGAAAAAAAAAAATTTACTTTTTTTTTAAAAAATATAGGTAAAAAAAGATACAATTTTTTGGCGTGATTTAAATCGTATTATGAAAAAAAAGCGCTTTAAACGTTTTGATGTAAACTACGCTATTTTTTTTTCCGACCTTTTCAAAAAAAAGGTCGTCGTTTAAAACTGTTTAAAAAAAAAAGCCGATTTTAATAAAATCGCCAATTAAACGGCGATTTGCTAACTATGGTCTCATATCTTCAGGTGGAGTGAAATCAAGCAGCTGTTTGTGGTAATCAGCAAGGCTTTTTTGGCTGCTTGTGGTAATCAGCTAGTTTTTTTGGCTGTTTGTGGTAATCAGCAAGGTTTTTTTGGCTGTTTTACCATTACTGACAAGTCTTGCTCTGCAAGAAAAAGCGGAAACTGTGATGGCGGTGGTCATCACAGAGTTGGATGATGATATTGTGAGAAGCATGTCTATTGGTGCAGTTTTTACAGATTATGTGAGTTAATACCATTCTTCTTTTATTCTCTCTCTTAGAAGAAATTTGTTCTCTATGTCGTTCATGAAAATTTCAGCTAGACTGCAATTCTTTTTCTCTACCCTCACTCTCTACTCATTTCCTCACCCTTCTCTTTTTTTGTTTTTCTATTATGTGTGTTTGTATCTATCTTGTTTCTACCTGTAGTGGGAGTAAAACGATTTTGCAAACTTTCCTCTGTAATTAAAAGTTAATATTCGAGTGTTGTGAATTGATTGCAACTTGATTTGAATTGTGTGCAACTTCATTTGTGACCTCCCTTCCCCAACTCACTTTCTCTTCTAAGTTCTAATCACTCAATGTTTAGAAGTTGAGACTGTAATTGCTTGAATTGTTTTGAGGTTCATTCTGAATTGCTCCCATTTCCTCTCTCTTTGTAACTACACATCATAGTTAGAGCCTGCAAGTTTGGATTGTAATTGTAGTTTTTCCTTATAAGTGTCTCAAATACTGCAAAGAATACATAAGGGAAAATCAAAGTGTAAAAATGGTTTTATTTAGACACCATGGAAAAAGGGGAAAAAAAAACAATGATCAAGAAAAATGTGAAAGATCTCATGAAATACCATTGCTAATCACCATTGACGTAATCACATCAAAGGACTCTCCTTGAATGATTTGGAGGTATACATACGAGGAAAGCAACAAATTATAATGTAACCCACTTGACCCTGAAGAAGTTAAAAAATGGCCATACAACTATAAAATTCTAGTGCATGAGTGAGTGACTGATTTTATTAGCCTCCTCCCTGAATAACATGCACATGTTTAGGTATCATTATACTCCTCCACCGGAAATGAGTTGCACAGTGTACATAAACATGGCTCAGGCAGGGTACGGGCCGTACGGCCCCTTCCTCAGCCAAGTTACTCGGGCGAGTCTGCTGTACGAACACATAAGGCTGACTTTTTTTAGAGAGAGGCGATATGGCAAATTGGAGCCTTGCCCAAGGCAACTTGGCAATAGAGGGCCAGGTGAGAAGGCCAATGAAACAAGTTAACTAGTGCATGAGAGATTGATTCTTGTATGGAGCCAGTGTCAATCGGTTGGCGTGCGCTTCTAGTAAATACCAATTCTAGGATACTCTTTTTCACAAGATTGGAAAATACAGGGAACCAAATGGGCCCTTATGGGATCTAGGAAACCATGAACTACCCTACTGCTTATAGCTCAAAAGTCAAAACAATTGGCCACTTTGGTCTAAGGATAATCTGCCGAACTCAATGAAGTGGGGAATCTTCCCCATGGGGAGTTGTTTCCAAGTTAAATAAAGTGCCGCAAACTGCACCATTTGCAAACACCTTGAGTTCTCTATGATTTTACCTTACCATTCTCTCTTGATGTAGCAAACACCTTGAGTTCTTACTCACAACACCAAAGGTGCTACCCCATAATTCTCTACATAACCTTTATATAAAAACCGCTATTGTTAACCATAAGTCTATATTGCCACTTTCCTAGAAGGGATTTGTTAGGCTCCCATAACATCCTTGTATCTAGGCAGCATTCTTATTTGTGTTGACATGTCTTTGCCCATTTCAAAAGATCAAATTTTAGCCTCCTTCCCATAAGAAATTCATCTGGTAATCTTTCTATCTTTACGACTAACTTGGTTGGCACCTAAAAGAGGGACAGAGCTACTTGATTAATGTGATCTTTCTCACAACAAAAAGAAAGTTACTCCTCTATGAGTAGGGTCTACTGAACCGGATCTCATGAGCTCTTATTTGGTTTGGCAATGTATGTTGCCCCAAGATATGAGCTAAGAAGGTATGAGACCTAATGATATAACGTCCCAGTTGTTCGTTCCTCACATTCATCCCAGCCATAGAGCTTTTCCAAAGATTAATTTTGAGTTCCATGACTACCTCGTAACACCACATATTTAGCTACGTGTTGTTCACGGGTTCCCTTCTATTGCAGAAAGTTTGGGTATCATCTGCATGTTGAAAATAGGGTATGCATTGTCCTCCTTGGATCGCAATGTTGAGAACAATCAAGTTTTTAAACTGTCTTTTTGTACTTCCTATTTTTGTTATTAAATTAAAGGATATAAGTGGGCATGGTGGTCAGTAAGAACACCATTGTGACACTATTCTCTCGTTTTTTCTCTTTCATTCTATCTCCAACTTTCTCTCTCTTCATAGTTCTTGATCCTTCTAACAATTTGCTGATTTCCATCATTCAAGTTTGCTATATTTTAACTTGGTATCAGAGCAAGATGCTTCTGGAGATATTCTTGAGACCCAATAATGTAATCTCACCTTGCAAAGACAGCCCATGGTTGTACGGTCAGAAAGCCTAAATTTGTGAAATTAGGTATTAAAAAAAAAGAGACCTAAATATGATGATTTTTCCATTTGTGAATATTCTTTGTGATATGTGGATCAATATGGGAAAAAAAAACTCAATTCTGAAAATTATAGTGGTGAGTCAAACCCTAAAATTTTATGGATCTAAAACTCCGATCTAAAAAATTGAAGGAGTCCATCAAACCCGAATTTTTCATGGGTGGAGTTTGTGATGTCAAATTGAAAGCCCTAGAACTGGTTGGGATTTTTTTGATGTTTCAAAGTGGTTTTTGGACTCTCTAATGTGTCTCATATTTTCGGGTGGAGTGAAATCAAGTAGCTGTTTTTGGTAATCAGCAAGGTTTTTCTGGCTGCTTGTGGTAATCAGCAATTTTTGTTTGGCTGTTTGAGTGTTTGTGGTAAACGACAAGGTTTTTTTGTGTGTTTTGGTTAAATAGTGGCTGATATATCAAATATTACTGATTCAGAGCACTCTTCTACGACCACCAATACTCGGAGTGTAAACTCTCTGTGGGTATCCATGGAAAAATCCCTGGTCTGCAGATTACTAATGTTAAACGTGATGGGACCTATTATTTGGAATGGTCTCGCGTTGCTAAAATGTTTATTGGTGGTAGAGAGAAGTTGGGTACATCATTGGTAAAATTGTTGAACCTGAAGAGACAAAATACTTCATATGAAAAGTGGGAGACTGAAAACTTGATTGTAATGTCTTGGTTATTGTACTCAATACAACCTTCAATTAGTAAAGGTTTCCTATTTCTTCGTATTGGGAAAGAAATCTGAGAATCGATACACCAAACATATCTCAAAGCAAGAATGGGTCCCGGGTTTACCCACTAGGGCAGGAGATATCACATCTTTGACAGGGGGAGCAGTCTCTAGCAGCATATTTTTCTTACTTTGAAGTCTATGGAGGAATTAGATCATGATCATATGTTTAAACCAGCCTGTAAGCAAGATGGGGATAAATACAAGGAATTTTAGGATCAAAATGGTATCTTTGAGTTTTCGGCTGGATTGCTCCCTGAGTTAGAATTAGCCAGGGTTCAAATTCTTAGTTGGGATGCTCTTTCATATCTCAATCAGGTATATTCCTTTATCCAGAGTGAAAAAAGTAGGATAGGTGTCATGCTTCCTGCACAACCAATGGATCGTGCTGCTCTTGTTTTTGCCTCATTGCCTCATTGCCTCCTAAGAACAATAAGGGGATTGGATCAACAAAATTTGGAAAAGGGAGTCCCAATTAAGGAGATAAAAGTAAGCTAAAGTGTGATCATTGTGGTAGGACTGGTCATGTCAAGGAGAATTACTGGGATTTAGTTAGTCGACTGGAAAAATCTAATCGTCCTGGGCAATTCAATGCACGTAATGTTTCAACCACTGGTGGTTCAACAACTATTAATGCTGGTTAGGTGCAACTCAATGCAGCTACATCCTTACCTTCTGTCCAGAGGAAGATGATATCAGTCTTCAAGGAGGAAATTGAGAGCCTTCGCCAGTTGTTTGCACAGTTAGATGGCCCACCTACTACCTCCACAGCATCCTTTGCCTACTCAGGTATTCATCCTTCTACCAACCATATCTCCCTTTATTCTTTTGGACAGTCATGGATCATTGATTTTGTTGCTTCAGATCATATAACTGGTATGTCCTCTTTGTTTTCTTCTTATTCTCCTTGTTTTGGAAGAGGAAAGTTAGAATTGCTAATGGTTCTTTGTTTTCTTCTTATTCTCCTTGTTTTGGAAGAGACAAAGTTAGAATTGCTAATGGTTCTTTCTCTTCCATTGCTGATAAAGGAATTGTAAATACTTCATCTCAATCATTTGTTCTTCATGTTCCTAACTTTTCTACAAACCTAATGTCTGTTAGTAGCATTACCTAGAGTCTAGATTGTAGTGTAATCTTCTTTTCTTTCCATTGTGTTTTCAAGACCTCGATATGAGGAAGATGATTGACAGTTATCGTGATAAAGGAATTGTAAATACTTCACCTCAATCATTTGTTCTTCATGTTCCTAACTTTTCTACAAACCTAATGTCTGTTAGTAGCATTACCTAGAGTCTAGATTGTGGTGTAATCTTCTTTCCTTTCGATTTTGTTTTTCAAGACCTCGATATGAGGAAGATGATTGACAGTTGTCGTGAAGCTGGTGGTCTCTACATTCTTGACATGCCTATTACTACTTCTCAAGCTCCTCAGTCCAGTATGAATATTAATAAAGATCGAATTTGGCAGTGGCATCTTCAACTTGGTTATTCGTCTTTTTAGTCATTGAATATTCTATTTCTTAAGTTGTTTGCTTCTACAAGCACGTCAGAGTTCAATGTGAAGTTTGTGAACTTTCAAAACTTTGTAGAAACTCTTTTTTGCCCAGTAATAATAAAACTACTATTCCTTGTGCTACTGTTCATTCTGATGTATGGGGTCCATCTCCTCTGACTTCTATTTTTGGTTATTGGTATTTTGTTTCTTTTGTGGATGATGACTCTTACTGTACATGGATATATCTTATGAAGACCAAATATGAAGTCCCTAAATTCTTTAGGGTCTTTTATAAGATGATCTATAATCAGTTTGACCCTAAAATTTAGTTACTCAGATCATATCAAAGTAAAGAGTATTGCAATTGGGAGTTACTTTCTTATATTAAAGAAAAAGGCATAGAATATCATAAGTCTTGCTCATATACCCCACAACAAAATGGGGTAGTGAAAAGAAAGAATATACACGTCTTGGAAGTGAGTTGTGCTCTTTTCTTGAGTATGAAGGTACCCGAGAAGTATTGTTTTGAAGTTGTACTTATGGCATCCTATCTCATCAATCAAAGCCCTCTCGTTTTCTTGATAACCAATCGTTCTATAAACTTATCCATCCTGATCGTCCACTTATTAGTGTCCCTCTTAAGGTCTTTGTTTGTGTTTGCTTCGTGCGCGTTCTTGGTCCAAATTGTACAAAGTTGTACCCTAAATCTGTAAAATGTATTTTCCTCGATTTCCCTTCCTCTCAGAAGGGCTACAAATGCTATGATATAGTGTCTTGGATGGAATTTGATTCAATGGATGTAATGTTTTCCTTTTTTCTCTGCCTCTCTTTAGGGGGAGCTCAATGTGGAAGAGAGCTCTCATGTTCCCCTTCATGTTCCTATTTTTTCTGACTGTAGAGGGCAGGAGGACAGTGGAGGCCAATCTTGTGATGTTAGAGCTGAAGAAAAGCAATTAAAAGTCTATACTCAATGGAAACAAAGAGTGGAGATCACCGTAGTTGACATGCCTCGGAGCCAGTCTCATACCTTTGATCCAGGTAATCCTAGATCCACTTTTATCAATTCTCAGTGTGATTGAGTCTCCAATTGTTGTACATAAAGGCAAACGTAGTTGTACTACTCAGCCAATTAGTAATTTTGTTTCTTATAAGTCCTTATCTCCTTCCTAGATTGCATTTGTGTCCTCTTTGTCTTTTGTTTCTATCCTTTCCTGTGTTACAAAAGCTTTAGCTCATCCTAAGTGGAAGGAGGCTATGCGTGAGGAGATGAGGGCATTACTTAAGAATACTCGGGAGCTAAGGGAAGAAGTTGGTTGACTGCAAATGGGTTTACACTGTAAAGCAAAAGGCCGATGGAACTATTCATAGATACAAGGCGAGATTGGTTGCTAAGGGGTTACTTAGACTTATAGAATAGTCTACTAGGCAACATTTGCTCGTTTAGATAAAATGAATTGCATTCGAGTGCTTTTGTCCTTGACAGCCAACTTTAAGTGGTCCTTCTATCAGTTGTATGTCAAGAACACATTCCTTCGTGTGGAATTACAAGAACAAGCTTATATGGTACCTCCACCTGTGTTTTGTGTACTTGGATGTGAAGGGAAAGTTTGTAGATTGAGAAATGCCATCTTGGGACTAAAGTAATCTCATAGTGATTGGTTTGAGAGGTTCAGTGGGGAAAGAATTAGGCATACTCAAAGTCATTCTGACCCTACCTTATTTATCTAACACACAAAGATCAACACCACAATCCTAATTTATATGTGGATGACATTGTTGTAACTGGTAATTGTCCTGAGGAAATTTTGCAACTCTAAAGGTTTTCTGGGAGAGAATTTGAAACGAAAGATCTAGGTTCACTGAAGTTCTTTCTTGGAATAGAAGTAGCCAGGTCAAAAAGAGGAATTTTCATCTCTCAAAGGAAGTATATATTGGATCTATTTAAGGAAACTGGAAAGCGTGGGGCTAAACTCGCCAACACACCTATAAAACAAAACCACAAGCTTGATGGCCTAAGGGAGAAGCTCTCAAGGACATGGATATGTTTCAAAGATTAGTGAGTTGACTAATATGCCTTTCACTTACATGCACAAACATTGCATATGTTGTGAGCATGATTAATCAGTTTAATGCATTCCCTTTTAACTATCCATCTTGAAGCTGCCATCAGAGTACTCATGTATCTAAAGTCATCACCAGGGAGAGGACTGCTGTTTGCTAATCATGGGTATCCATTGGTTGAAGCTTATACAGATGCAGACTGGGGTGGTTCTATTATAGATCGAAGATGGACATTGGGGTGTTGTACTTTTGTTGGAAGGAACCTTTGTGATTTAAAGGAGTAAAAGCAATCACTAGTAGCAAGATCAAGTGCAGAAGCTGAATATGGATCTGACTCATGGTACATGTGAATTACTATGTCTAAAAATTCTTTTATGAGAACTTGGTTTCTTGTGAAAGGTCAATGTCCTTGTACTTGACAATAAGGCAGCTGTCACTATCAGTGTAGCCCATAATCCGGTCCAGTATGATAGAACGAAGTGTATGGTAGTGTATCACCATTTTAATCGAGAAAGGGTTGCTACCAAAGAATTTTGTCTTCCTTATGTTAAAGGCTGTTGGGAAACCTCTACTAAAATGATTTTAAGCAAGCAGGGCATATGACAGATATCTATACACTAGCTTGAGGGGGAGTGTTGAGAATAATCAAGTTTTTATCTATTTCTTCTTATATCAAGTCCTTGAGGACATTTCTGTCATTTCCTTTTCTTAAGGGACCTTTTTGTACTCCATATTTTTGTTAATAAATTAAAGAATATAAGTGGGCCGTAATGATTAGTAAGAACACCATCTTGACTCTATTCTCTCCTCTTTCTCTCTCTCTCTCTTCAACTTTCTTTCTTGTCACAGTTCTTGATCCTTCTAACACTTTGCTGATTTCCATCATGCAAGTTTGCTACATTTTAACTCACAGCAAATTGCATCAATCATCATGTCTTCATCAATGATCTTGCCAAAGTACTCTTCCACCAATGTAAAGAGGAGGGGTTAAAAAGGGTCCCCCTGCCCCTATCAAATAAAGGAAATCCTAACGGATTTATCATGCATGGTCTCCCTCTCGCTTGCTCTCTGTGATATATAGACGTAGTAGTGTGACGATACCATAAGGACTCACTGAAACTTGATCCACTAAAAATTTTTAGGGCATCTGTCTCCTTGCTGCTCCATGAACATGGTTAAAAGGAAGTTGAAGAGAACTGTTAGCTTGTTATTGTCACATTGAAATGCTATCCAGCTCTCTTGTTTTTTTGTTTTTTCAATATAATGTCAAGATGTCTGTTAAAGTGAAGGCTTTTGTTCTTTCATCAGCAAAACACTTAATGTTAATGTTATTCCATTATCTTCAGGTTGGAAAGATCAGTTCTTTTGATTTTCATCGAACCGAAGATCTCTTAGTTACAGCAAGCGAAGATGATTCTATACGCCTTTATGATATTGCAAATGCTACGTAAGTTTGTAGGATATAATTAAAAGGACTACTGCATTGTGGTTGATATATTCTTAAATTCGATGCAAACTTTACTATGTTGCTTCATCATCTTGTGCATTATCATTTTGTGTATTCGTTATCTATTAGTTGTTCTGTTTTCTTTGAATCTTCTTGTTAGCTATGTTATATTCGATAAAAGTAGAAGATACTTGTACGGGTACACTGGCTAAGTGCGTAAAGTGAACTGATATGTATATTTTTAAGCATTTGTGGTAGTATTTTCCTTTTGAATTGAGTTATCTTGAAAAGGATTGTGCATTACGACTTGTTTTTAGTGCTTGGATATTCAAGGAAAGCTTGTAGATCTGGTATTGGCTAAAGGAGGGGCTAATAGATAACTTAAGTGAGAGGTTCACCTTGACTTTATAGATGTAAAAATCCAAGATTATTGCATAAAAACTATCACTAAACCTTGTGGATTTGGTACTAGCTAAATGAGGGGCTAACAGATAACTTAAATGAGAGGTTCAAACTTGAATTTATAGATGTAAAAATCAGAGTTTAATGCCTAAAGACTAGCCGTAGTCTTGGTCATTGAGTAGATTGTCTCATCCCATGGGTAACGCGAAATTATTAAACCTATATGAGCATATAATGTATACAAATGTCTCCTGTGTAAGGGTGGAGTCAGCTTAGGATGCAATGTTGTCTATCTACTTGACTAATATTTTCGTAGTCATATTCTTTAGATAAATAGATAATTGATATTTGGATAGTTTCAGGCAATTTTTACCGTAGTGAATATTGGATATTTTTTTTCCTGGGTCCCAGATTGAACTTTCACATCGTGGATTGGTTTTTGTTTTGAAACAATAAAACTTGTTACTTGGTAAAGAGAAAAACTGCCAATGTTCTTTCTTTTATTTGAGTTTAACCAAACCTTCAATTTAAATTTAATACAAGTTCCAGGTTTGAAAATAAGATAAAATATAATTGTTTCCAAGCTTTGGCAAATTCAAGGCATAACAATTTGCATTTCAACTATTGTCTTGTAATTCTTTCCCTGGACAAAATTTACTCTACTAGTGATATTTTCATATATCATCATCATTGAGAATTCATGAGTCTTGTTTTATGGTGGTATGTGCTTCTGCTTCATATTGGAACACTAGGGTTTTAAAGACAACGTATAACAAGAAACATGGTGTAGATCGTGTATGCTTTACCCACCATCCCAGCTCCATAATATGCTCTTCAAGATACAACCTGGATGCTACAAGTGGTATGATGCAAACGCTTGTCTCATGAGTTTTTGATTTGTTTTGATGGCTAAGCCCATTCTAATTGCCTCCAATAATTAGACATATAGTTTCCGTCTGCCAGAATCTCTGCGCTATCTTTCACTATATGACAATCGATGCCTCCGTAACTTCAAGGGGCACAAAGAGAGGTATTTCTTCCAAAAGCTGTATGCTATGAAGAAGTTATTTTGTTATTTATTTGTTTTCTTTTCGTGGTTCTACTGGATATGGCATAGCATAAAAGTAAAAGTAGAAGATAGAAATGCTGAAATTTATGTTCAACTAAAGGGACAGAATATCATCACCATTGTCATCATTGCCATCAATATTTAGGGGAAATCATGCTCGAATCCAGTACAGAAACTGCCGACCATTGGAGTCTTTACCATCCAATGAAATGATGGACAATGGTCGAGAGAGAATGCCATGAGCTATATTGGGACATGACCCCCACTTGGAAACTGCTGTCTCTTCATCATTGTCTGTCACTTTATTGGACCACGAGGGGCCAAAGGCACTACGTTTTCCAAAGTCCATCATATTATGGTGTGCATAGCCAGTTGCCTTTTCTTTTATTTCAATCAATAAGTTTTTGATATTTTGGTAATGCTGTTGGTAGAGTGGTTTCCCTCTGCGTGTCACCAATCAACGATAGCTTCATGTCCGGTTCACTTGACCACACTGTACGATTGTGGGACCTCAGGGTGAATGTTTGCCAGGTTAGATATTCAATCTACTATTGTATGTGCTTCTAATTAGAACGTAAAATAGAAGTATCTCATAATCCAATGGTCTAGTACCTTGAAAGTAGATGGACATTGATTAACTGTATTTGGGTGAATGTCCACATGGGTCTCGCATGCCTATTGTTAATCTCCAAAGTTGGTCGTCGAGATTGGACCATGATGACCTTAGGAGCAGTGCATGGCATGCTCCATTAGACTACAGGATATGAACCTAAATAAAGCCTCATACTACTACTCATTTCTTCAATGCATATTCATAGCCACTTTCATCATTTACAGGGACTTCTACATTTACGTGGCAGGCCCACAGTTGCATATGATCAACAAGGTCTTGTTTTTGCTGTAGCAATGGAAGGAGGGGCCATCAAATTGTTTGATTCGCGTTCCTATGATAAGGTCCATGGGCCAACAACTAAACCATGCATGTAACTTACTATTTCAATTTCGAAGGTCTGAACATATCTTTGAAAATTCTAGGGTCCTTTTGATACCTTTCTAGTTGGAGGAGATACAGCGGAGGTGTGTGATATCAAATTCAGCAATGATGGCAAGTCCATGCTCCTTACGACAACAAACAACAATAACTATGTTCTTGATGCGTATGGCGGTGAGAAGGTTGGTTTATATATTCTTTCTTCATATTAATCATAGAAAGAAAGAAAGAAGGTTGCTTACCATAAGGAACGCAGAGTAACTAGGGTCATTTCTGCAAAACTCTTATTATCATTATTCCCATACACTGGTGAGATGTGGTGATGTGCCCTGATAGCTTCTCTGGAATTACAACACCCTCCAAGAAAATTGTTAAATGATTATTTTGGCCTGTCTTTTTTTGTTTTATTTTCATTTTCATTTTCTATTCTTTTAATATACGGCATTATCCTTGGAAGTATATTTACGTACTTAATGTTGGATTGACACCTTCTATAAACTTTTGCATTATTAATTAGTTTTACTTATATTAGTACATATATTATTATTTATAAATTAGTATTATTTTGAAAAATTTAAAAAAACTAAAGATGCAAAAAAGAAAAACAATGAAGGAATTAACTTTTTTCTTTTTTGCATTTAGCAAGATAAATACTAGCTTTTTACTTTTTTTTATAGTAATATATTATTAATTTATATAATTTGTATTTTGGTTAATTATTATTATTTAATATAATTAAAGTTATTTTCAATTATATCAGTATGTATACTATTTACTTGTAAGTAAATATCATGCTCGAAAATTCGATAATATGAAAATACAAAACACATCATATAATACATATAATGAAATCATAATAATTAGATACCTATTGCAATCAAAATTAATTATGATGTCGTCATTATTTATTTTTTCCTTTCATGGTAGGGACATTCTTTTTTTTTTTTTCGATTTAGTTTTGAATTTTGAAAAATATGAAAAGTACAGACAAAAAATGAAAGAAATAGAGAGAAAATGCAAATGAATAAAGAAAATTGAAGAGTGAGTTTTGTTTTTTTCATTTACCAATTACGATAATACTAAAATTTTAATTTTTTATTGTACTAATGTAACAATTACATCATGCACTAATTAAATAATTTTAATGTATACAGAAAATATAATCTTATAAGCAAGTAGTAAATAAAAATAGAGAAGGAATTATCTCTTCCTATTTTGTATTACCACTATAAGTACTAACTTTCTATTTTTCTTTTTTGTGGAAACATTATATTATTAACCTATATAATTAGCATTTCTGGTTGATAGAGAGAGTTTTCATTGAAAGGGAGAGAGAATATGAATAAATATTGATATGTAAATTGGGGAAGAAAGAAATTAATGGAGATAAAATAGGAATAAACTTACAAATAAATTGATAAAATTGAAAATAAAAAAGATACTTGGCAAAAAAAAAAAGAGAAAATATCTCCTTACCCACTAATTTTAACTTCTCTATCTCTTTGGACCCAAGGATGAAAAATATTACTTGGAAGCAAAGGACCTCCATTTTTTCTATCTTGCAACCCTATGAATCCCTTTTTTGATGAATTTTTGACCCCAATAAAAATTAAAATGACGTCCTATCTTGCAAAGGCTTTGTTTGTGGGTTTTTTTAGAGAGAGAGCGGGGATGATCTCTCATCCTTGGGTCCTTGGCTTCTAGGGGAATGATCTCTCATTCCATAGCTCCATGTCTCGCTGTTTTCTGTCGGTCACGATTTTGCGATTGTCTCTTTCATATACGCTGGTAGATGGCTTTTCTTCACTGAACCAACTCCGAGTTCACTCTCTCTCTAATTCCTGATTCATTATCTCTATAATTGCAAATTACTCCCTCTCTCTAACTCCTAATCCATTATCTCTAATTGCAAATAACTCTCTCTTCATTCTCTCTTTAACTGAAGATTACTCTCTTTCTTCATTCTCTAACAGCAAATTACACTCTCTCTCTAGATGCAAGAACGAGGCAAAGGCATTTCAGGGTGGTGGAACTCAGAGCCAAACCCCCGTGCAAACTCCACTCTCTCTACCCACCCCCAGTTGGCATTTGTGCCTTCTGTGTCCAAGAAAAACTCATCAGCCTCTCACTTTCTCTCTACCCACCTCTCACCCCCCAACACATCTCGGATTCAGGCCAATACACCTCAGAGTCTCACATTTTTGGGGTTGGCAAAATTTCCTCTCTCACCAAGGAAAGAGATCCACCACCCATCAGACCAGACTCCACAAAAGTGCTCAAGATAATCGTTTCTCTCTCTTCTCGTTCTTCTCTCTCTAACATCTTGAGGAGAGAGAAGCACCCACAACTCACTCGTGAAAGAAGTTATTCCTCCGCTCTCTACCACATCGAGAGAGAAGAATTACCTACGGTGAGTTGCCATGATCCCTGGCTCTAAGAAAACCCAATTGAACATATGGAAAATCCCTATGTGCTGTCTTTTGAGCTTTGTTGCCTAGAGAAGCCAGCAATTTCAACTCTTCATGATTTAAACCTATGTGCGGAGCACCTTCTAAGACGGCTATGGTTGCAAGAATTGCCCCGTTTTCCTTTACAATCTGCTCAACTTGCTTTGCAGTCTCAAGATTTTGGGGATAGGGCATTCCATGAGATATGATGGTGGACTCGAGGGCAACAACTGCATCTCCATGTGAGAGAGCATCACGAACAACTGGTGCCACCACCATACCCATTGTGCCAACATGAAAGAAGCACCTCTCTCTCGCCCAAGTTAATGAGAGAAGAAATATCTGCAACCCCACCATGAGAGAAAATCTTCTCTCTCTACCATGTTGGTGAGAGAGAAGAAAAACCCACCTCCTAATAATGATAGAAAAGCTTTTCTCGTGAAGATAAAGCGACAGTGAGAGATCATTCCCTCTCTCTCTTAAAAAAAAACCCACAAACGAAGCCTTTGCAAGATAGGATGTTATCTTAATTTTTGTTGGGGTAAAAAATTCATCAAAAAGGGATTCAGGGGGTTGCAAGATAGGAAAAATGGAGGTCCTTTGCTTTCAAGTAATATTTTTCACCCTTGGGTCCAAAGAGATAGAGAAGTTAAAATTAGGGGGTACGGAAATATTTTCCTAAAAAAATAATAGGGGTCCTCCTCTCGCTTTATATATAATAATAGATATATACATAATAGTGATGATGGATACGTAAGAGATAATAGGCAAACTGAGGATTATATCGCTCAATACTCCATTTTAATAGAGGAGCATGCAAAAAATGAAGACACAATGTGTACAATTTTTAATTATTAAATATGTATAGAATTGTAGGAAATTGAAGAAATATTCAAAACGAATAGCTCTTTCATGAATGACATAATGAAATAATTATTGAAATATAAATGTGCTACAATGAAAGATTAAGAATGTTCAATTGAAGAAAATTTAATGAATCCTATGTCAATTTTTTATCTTGGACCTTTGGGCTTCTTTTGGTCTTTGGTTGTTCTAGAAAATAAAATATGTTTGTAATCACATAGTTCATTGTTGTTCGATAATGAAAAATGTTTAGTGAGGCCCACACTACAAAATTTTTCTGTGTTCAATATATCACAAGCTGGAAAAGTGAGTGAGTCCCGAATAAAAGTTAAAAGGCATTAAAAAATTAGTTTTTTAAAATATAAAATAATTTAAAATTATTCAATATAAATAATTTTGACATTTCAAAATGTTAAATTTCAATTTGTGGAAATTTAGTTGTCTATCGCCATGTAAATGTAGGTCGCTACTAAAAGGCATTATGTAAAATAAGTTTTTAATAATGTTTAAAAATATTAAATTAAAAGAAAAAGAATCATAAGTGAATTTAAATGTATGATAATCAAATGAATAAAAAAGTAGGAATAAATATAAATTATAGTCACAAAGAATAATTTTAAAACATTTCAGATTTTAAAATTGGTATTTTATTTTTTTATAGTAAAGATGTAATATAATATTTAAATCTCAAAATTCATAATACATATATTTAAGAATCTTGAAAGTTATTGCCGAAATTTTAAAAAATTATTATGCTAATCCATGACATCTAAGATAAATTGCTTCAATGGTCGATGGCATGATGGCTATGGCATTGCTACCGAATATCATTATGCTAATATCCCTTTCTCTACTCCAACCTACAACATCTTTCTCTATAGAGAGTAGGTCTAGTGTCGTGGCGCTAGTATCATCTGAGCCCTCGTTAAAGATCACGGCTTCCATTCTCACTAACACTTTCAAAAGTTGACTCTTTCAAAATAGGTGGGGAGTTCGCAATCCCTACTAATCTACCCCCCAAATAAAAAACGAAAAAAATATCTTCTTGGTACCCTCATGCTTATGATAACATCTCTTTCCTCAATGTTGTGGTAGCATTTCTCCCTCTAAACCTACAAGCTTATAGTAACATCTCTCTCTGTAGGGCACAAACAATATCAAAAGAACTCTTTGTCCCCTGATTTTATAATAATCTCTCTCTTTCTTTCTCTCCTCGAAGCTATACTAACCTCTCTCTCTCTCTCTCTACCCTTAGGTTTACAGTAAGGTCTGTCTCAATCTTATAGTAACATGCTCATCTTTCATTGTCTCAAATAATATTATGATCACCAATATGTTGTTCTCATAGTTGCATTTGAATTGTGACTTGAAGCTTTTGCCTTACAACCCTTTAGAATTGATTATGGAACCACCTTGTCTTTCCTCATGTGTCTTTTCCTAGTGTTTTAGAACCCAGCGATCCGGACTTGGAATCAGCTTGTGCCGAACTAGGTTTGGGAAGGTATCGGTCACAGTTCAGTTCCCCCCTTAAAACTCCCCGTCCATTTTTTTTAAGCTGATCTAAATTGTTTTTTAGGTGAAAGCTTATCTAATGTTTTCTTATGCCTGCCCATAAAACCAACGCCAAAAAAAACCCCTTACCGTCCCACCACCTCCCAAACAAAAAATCCCCACACCATAAACTTCTATTTTAATTTTTATTTTGTTTTATATTTTTAACATTTTCTGGATCACCAATTCAGACCGATCAATATTACCGATCCGACAGCCCGAAATGGATATATGGGTTGAATGATCATCCATCAATCCGGGTTTTGAAACACTTCTTTCTCCTATATTCTTTGTTATATGGCCCATAGTTGTTTGGATCGGAAGCAAGACTGGAAGCAAGATTCGGATCAAGAGCAAGGGATCTTGAAATGCTGGAATATTCCAATGTTAGGAATCTAGATCCCCAAATGTTAGGGATCGCGATCCTAACCTTTTGAGGATCTTGACCCAACCTTTTAGGATCTTGATCCCAACCTTTTGGGGATCTTGCTTCCAACCTTAAAAAATATTTATAGTCTAGGACTATCTAGACGCTTTAAACTAGAGATCTTTTTATTTATAGCCGGAAGCAATGCAATTATATTAAAAGTGTAGTTATATTGCTAGCTAGCTATAAACAAAGAAAATCATCAGTGTAGTTGTTGTCTTGGTATTTAAAGTTGGGATTTAGGGATGGATTCGAGATCTTTAATGGTGGGGATTGGGATCCTAAAATTCAAAAATTGAGATCACTTGAAGATCCCTTTTCTGTGTCGTAAGAGCGAGATTATGGAGCGGGATCACTACCTTTGTTAGGAGATCCTAGTAACCCTTATGCCCATGTATGTTTTTCAGTGATAGGGGCATTCTTCTCTAACTTTGTTATTTGTATTATAAATGCTTGTTCTTGTTCTTGCAGTGCACTCTTTTGTTATAGCATTACTTGTATAATTTTATCTCTTGACATTCTTATTTCCATGGTCTGTAGAGATGTGGATTTAGTCTAGACCCATGTCCTAATTCCACAATTGAAGCAACTTTCACTCCAGATGGACAATTTGTAATATCAGGTAGCCTTTTGATAACCTTAAGGCAGGCGCTTCCTCCATGCTAGAGATTGTCTTTTTTTTTTTGGTTGTTACATGCAAGAGACTGTTTAATTATTTTCTATATAAAGGACATCCCACTATCTATATATTGTTGACTATTTTTTTCTTAATAAGTGCCATTAATTCATGGTTGAGGTGCTAAAATATCAAAATCTACCGCAAGTCAAACGACCAAGCAAAAACGTTATATCTGGTTCATAATTGTTGGGATCGGAGTGGGATTAGGATCAGCATTTGGGGATTGTGAATGGCTACAAATCTGTATAGTTGGGAGCACCATCTATACACTGTACTTTTTTGGGATTGAGATCCCAAGATTTTAGGGATCTCAATCCCAACTTTTGGGATCTTGCTCCCAACCTTAAATAATATATAGCCCAAGACTACATATACTCTTTAAACTAGGGATCTCTTTATTTATATCCAACAAGAAATGCAACTATATTAAAAATATGATTGCATTGCTAGCTAGCTATAAATTAATGAAATGATTAGTATGGATGTTATCTTGGTAGTTAAGGTGGGAATTGAGATCCTAATAATGGGGATCCAGATCCCAAAATTTTAAAGTTGAGATTCCTTGAAGATCCCTTTCATGGAGTGCTAGAGTGTAATTTTGCAACAGGATTGCCACCCTTGTTGGGAGATCCGGCAGCCATGATTTGGTTACACAGCTTGTGGATGAAATTTAATTCTAAGGGATAAGGGTTGTGCGCCTTGTTGTTATTATCCTACATGAGAACCGTTGAATATTCTATTTGTTTGATAGTTATGTCGAATGTTATACTGCAGGCTCTGGGGATGGAACCCTTCATGCATGGAGCATAAACACTAGGCATGAGGTGCGTGCAAGATATCGTTGTTTGTTTTAAGAATCAAGATTATGATTTTAGAATTTTTTTTTGCCTTTTCTAGTAATCTACAATGGTAATCTAGAATATTCGTTATGCAAATCATGAATTTGATAAAATTATGATATTTGAGAATTTGAATAAGTGAATAGTTCTTATTCAAATTGTCCTAGTTTTATAGTTTGATGAATCAATAATGATGATATTTTGGGATTGTATACTAAAAGACTGTTTACTTTTAACACGAGAAGGTCATAATCACATTTAGCAGTCACATTTGAAATACGGAGGCTAGGAGTGTGTCAAAAAGCTTAATAAATATTTTTTAGGACTTTGAGCTTGGTTGATAGCATTACCCCCTATTATCCGATTTCACATCTTACGACTTAGGGTGATTGTGACCTTCTTTTGCCAATGGTAAGTGGTCTTAGTATATATTTTCTCTGTTATTTTAGTGGAAATGCCCTTTCCAAATTGTAAATTTATGGTGAAGGATGGAAAATTTGCATGCTGGTTGAGAAATAACTTGGCTTTTGGACAGGATACAAGAATGGCAAGAGCTGTGGTTTAGGTATCTCTATTGATGAAATGCCCTACTAAAAATGTTAATGCAAAATGTGCAACTATTATCTTCAACTGTTGATGTATCCTTGTCCAAAACACAAGCAACTTGTACACCAGAGTTTAACCCAATAATGAAGTAAAATAAAAAGAAGGGGGAAGAAAAAAACTAATGGGTTGAAGTGGAGTGTATTGCCTTCGCCTAAACAGCTTGGAGCTTTTATTCTTGTCTTAGATTTACTGGTTCAAAGCTGATGCGTATCTATAAATATGTAGCTCCGTCTCAACCCTCCGGGTATTAGGTTCTTTCATTTCAAGCTCTTCAAATCCATTCTGTCCTACCAAAGCATGTGATGATACTAATATATTATTATATTAGAAACAAAAATAACCAAGCTTCCTATGAAATGGAAAATGACCTTACATTCCCAAATAAAAACCTGACATTAGTAGGTCTATGAGCATCAGTTTGCTAATAAGGTACCAATTTCTTTATTTGTCATAGCCTTCGTAATCAAACCTCCAATACAAAATGTAATGCCAATATGAAGCATGATAGCATGATCCAGGAGCTTCTCCTTGACATGCAATTGACCTTGCTATGCTTGTAAATTGGATGCTTAGATGAGTCTATGCTATCCCGAATAGGAGCAACATGTGAGCCTGAGGAAGAACTCGAGGAATACACGTCACTTGAAATTTTTAGGGGTGACCATAATTGCGGGAACCTCGGGGGTAGGGCCACAGTCACACCTTAGGTTTAGAGAAACATGGATCTTGCTCTTACAAAATGGGATCTTGGTCTACATGCTTGTAGGATCCCTCCAAGTAGAGGAGCAGTACTATTAATTGAACTAGTGGTCATATCCTTGGTATTATAGATTTATTTCTTTAGAACATGTTAAACTGTGGTTCATATTGCATCGTGGTATACTAAAATTGGGGTATTTAAAAACACTGTGTTATTCTAGTAAATTGGAATAGTAGAACTGTGTCATTGGTGTTAAGCTAAGGTGTATGATAATAGATCGAGCAGGCATTGTCCCGATCCTAATTTATTACAAATTATTAATTGATCTCATTTTATGTATAGTGGAACTTAGATACTTACAAGTCAAAACGACGACCCCAGTGACGTGGGATCTCGCTCCCACGTATCCTAAGATGTAGCTCCTTAACTTGTTGAATGTACGGATGCTGATCCTAACCCTAGGGAGCCTCCACCCTATGGCAGTTCGGTGTTTCCCAAACCGATCCCCCTCCCGAACCATCTCCCGCCTCCAAGCTCTATGGGGCTGATTTATCTTACTAGAAGTAATTTCATGTTCCTTAACCATTTGATTGAACTTCGATGTTGTTTGCTGCCTTTATCAACAGAATTGGTGAGAAAGACATGGTCCAAATAAAATACAAGATCCAGCCAATATGAAACTTTTTGAATGAAATTCAAGAAAAGAACATTCTTGAACTCGCATATGGAGTCATTGAATGTCTCTTTTAAGATCAAACAATTCCATCAAATTGGGTGTGATTTTATGCTAATAGCATCTAGGATACCTAGAATATCAGTGAACCCAGTTATTGCAGTTGATCTGTGTACTTTCTTTTATCTTCTAGGATCTATTTCTTGCTTAATGGAAAATTCGCTGTCAGACCTGGTTAATCTTTCACTCCATCCCCCCCCCACCCCCCACCCCCCACCCCCCACCCCCCACCAAGAGCATTTTATATTTCTGCTGAATATTCCCTCAACTAACAAAGAGATCTTGGGGGAAATGGCCATATATGACATTGACTGCATCCGTGTATCTTGTGTGCAAATTCTTCTTTTTTTGTTTTTCTGGGTAGTCTTCTTTTGTCTTTTTCCTTTTGATTAATGGAATGTTGATGAGATGAGATAAACCTGCGAATAAAATGAACGTCCTTGTGGTATTCAGATAGTTGATGGTGACAGAAACCAAGTGTTAACAAATTGGGAGTATTTACCGAGAATTAGACTTTGGCTCACAAAGTATTTCACATTAAGCTCTGAAGCAATGACAATATATGAGGGCCTTTGCGTGCATACTTGTGATTTTGAACATAATATCATGGAGAGGAACCTTGTTGTACATAAATATGATAAATGTCATAATACTACAATATATAGCTGAAGTTGAGTGGTCATAAGAAAAGAAATGCTGGATAAATCATGTTCATCAAAATATGTGAAAACTGAAGTGCTGATAGCAAAATTGACACTTTATTTTTTTTGGAGTTTTAATGATGTCAATATCATATATAGAATCAATAAGCATGAAAAGAGACAACAATTCACCAAATTCAACTTGGTTAGTATGTATTGGATACCAAAAGCATAAAGACTTTGCATGAGACCATATAAACTATATGCAAGCTACAAAAGATACCGAGGAAGAGCTATCTGATAAAATGCCTTGAGGAAATGAATTCTTCACATCTATTTAATTGAGGCAAAATATAGCATCTCTTTGCAAGCATGTTCCACATGGTATCACTTTTAATTATCCAGCAGCATGGTCTTATCTTACCTTACCTTATACATTTTTCAATTGCTCATTCCTTACCACAGGAGGTGATTGAGGTTAGTAGGTATAACGTAGGGTAGTAAGAGAGTGTTGCTTGTAATGAATGTACGTATTAACTTGAATATGACTCTGATTTTTATGTTCCATACTGAAGTTTATAAACCAGCTTGATAACACTCCCAAGTATTATATCTTGTCTTGATTAATATTACATTCATATGTGGCACGAAGCAATCCATGCACACTATGCATGTTCGAGAGAGTCACATATCCATGAACATTATGCATGTTGGAGACAGTCACAATTAAATTTTTGGTAAGCTAGATGCAGTCAAAGCTAGATGAGATAACATTTATGCTCTATAGTTTCAATGCGTATTCCTTTAGGTTGTTCCCATTGAGAGAGGTATCTCCTTTTACTTGATATAAATTAAAGGTGGCAGAGAATCACAAGGTGTAACCTAGTTGGGGTTACCAATTAGGAAAGGTAGACTTCCTCTAGATGGAGGTAGGTACTTTCTAGGGCGAAAAATGGTGTGATGGTGCGGCCTGTTGAATGTTTGGTTTGTCATAGAGAAGCAGTTATCGTAGACATTTTGGGTGATATCCTCTTTTTGGGAAAAAAAAGTCTGTTTCTCACTGCTCGTCTCTTTGTCTGGAAGTGTTTAGTAGTGGTTGCATGGGGAAAAGAAAATGAATATAAGTGTGTGATGTCAATAAAGAGAATGGTTTAAAATGAATGATCAATCAAGAGTTATAGATGTCATTTTTTGTTGGGTGAGAGATAAATTTATTGTCCCAAAATTGGTGATGTAAAGCTCTTTTCGGTACAGTGGATTTCAGTTTGTCATGCCTATAAATGTATGGGTGAACCCTATCCTTGTGTCATTTTGGAATCTCAATTTTACTTTATTTCATTTGCTGATACTATGGTTGGTTTTCACGTATTTCATTTCTACCTCGTTAATACACTGGCTCCCATGTTCTCACCCTTCCAAAACCTA